CCCCGCGATGAGTATATTGAACACGGGCGGAATCGTCTGAATAAACTCGTCGTACCGTTTCTCATAAAACAGCCGTAGCCCTTTGTTCAACTGAAAAATCAACGGTTTTAACTGATTAACGCGGTGCCTCTGATGAAGACGAATGAGAGAGAAAGCGCGTGGGAGGACGCTTATGGTACAGCTCGATATATATCGGGATATATCGCTCCTGAAAGGCGAACGATTCCTCCGAACGCGATCGAATGAAAGAGGTTCGAAAGCTATACGGGTGAACCGTGTGCTCGCGACTGTATTCTCTGGCCGGCCGGCTCGCGCGACTCGCCCGACTCGCCCACTCGCCCGACTCGCTCGTTACGCCCGGTATGTCGTATCGGTACGCGCGCGTTCGTAAGAGGGTCGATGAAAAATAATTTCTCAGAGGCCGGGGCTCGAGTTGCGAGTTTTTACGGTTGATTGATGCCATCGTAATAAATCGCGATACTCGCGGTACTCCCCGGTTGTCAGAGATATCATTTCCGCTAGATCGATCGCAATTTCCTCGCTCGTTCGCGCTGGACGGCCGGGATTATGCGGCGTCGCGACACATAAACTATTACAGACTTCCGGCCATCGATTATTTAGCCCGAACGAACAACAGGTAATTCGCTTGCTAAACCTCCGGAGACTGTAATTTCTAATTGATTCGTCGGTTATTCCGTTACAGTAGTTGCGACACGAGTCGCGTAGTACATGTTAGTCGAATCTAATACACGGAACGGAACGAGTAGCGAAAACGGCTATGGACTTGTTCGACCATCAGGCCTACACGGTGTCGAAGCAGCTGATGACGATGTTCGGCATGTGGCCGTACCAGTCGGCGATTCTCCGCAACCTGAAGCAAACGGTGGTGATCATCGGCGTCACTAGCCTGGTGATACCGGAGGTAAGCTTTTCCATCCTATTATATTATTCTAAATCTATCGTACCACGTCGGCCCATGTCGCATCCTCCTTCCGGGCCAATCTTTCCATCATCTTCCTACCCACCTGCAATACATCCTTGCACGGATTTCCTTCCCAGGACACGCTTGGCCAGCTTGAAACGATCGATCCGTATGCTCCAAGAAAAATTACCTATTACCTATTACCTCTTACCTATTATTCGATAGTTTCGTGTCATCGTGAAATTACAATCTTCGCGCCTGAGCCTGACCCCCTCGGCTCCCCGCGAGTATCGAGTTCAAGTTTTATCTTTCGAATCGCGACGAGGTAAAATCTCGTTTCGTCGTTCTCGAAGAATCGAGCCTTTAACCGGGTAACCGTTAACCGTACACTTTGAAAAATCCCCAATCGCGCGCAATCGATGCGTACCTATAGAATAGATTCTCAGGGAAAACTAAAGCGAAACGAGAACAACGATTACGAGATATCTCTTGGCGCGTCTCTTTAGCGGTGAAAAGCGCGGTTACCCGCTCGAAAACGCTCGAACCGAAAATTCACAACAGAAACGAAGATCAACGAACGTTACCTCCTCGCGACATCTACGTCCGCGTCCGTGTCCCAAGAACGTTCTCGATTAATACGACGCATCGAGACCTCTGCGAAACAGCCGTCCATCGCAGGAAAACCGAACAAACTGTTCAACCATTCGAGACGCGAGCCGAGGATTCTTGACAACGACATCGTTGAATCGTTGCAATCGAACAAACTCAACTTCCGAGGCGCGCCATTCAAATTCGAAAACGAGCGAAAGAGCAAACGCGACGAGCGAATGCCGTGAACCTACATCCCACGGAGAATAACGAGATACCTAACCAAAACCGTGTAGCACGGACGCGCGTAACAAGCCAATTTTCTTCTCGAGAAATCCGTATCGTTGCCAACATTCTCGGACATTACGATACTCCGTCGAGTCGATGATTCGATTCCTCGTGAAAACTGAAACTTACCGGCCCCCTTTCGAACAATCGATCGATCGAAACCACCGCGCCACTGTGAAATTCGATTTATCGATAGGAAAGAAGGTTCGTCCCTGTGCTCGCGTAGAATGACAGTTCTTCCATGGTCAAGTACGGTGCGAACATGCTCAAAGGATTATTCTGTTATCAGTTTGTCCACGTGACGATTAAGGATTCACGGTTCCTCCTTTGATCGTCGCGTTATGTTCCTTTGGGACGCCTGACTCGAATGGAAATTCGCGTCGTCGATGTCACGGCTGCACACCATGGACAAACGCAATGATACACGTTACTGACCAACGATATTCGAGCTTAAAGTGATCTGTGCACGCGGAACCATTTCTTTTCTCTACGTTCCTCGACGTCCCTCCTCGCGAAATAATCTCCTCTTTCCAATTAAAACGGCTGGCAGTGTCGTTCGACGTGACTCGACTCGACTCGATTCGACTCGACTCGACTCGATTCGCTCGGAAATAACGGTCAGCGGGAAAATCGAAAATTACGTCGTACATTTTGCACCGACGGATACACCCCGTTCACGACTGTATTCCCCATTCGCTGCTATTTCTTACCAATCGGATAGGTATGTTTGTTAAATGATCTTACGATCGGTCCAAGCAACGCCCGCATCGCAATGGAAAAATTTGCCGTCGACTTGGACAAGGTTTTGGACGATTTCGAATTTAACGAAGGTACCGACACGTTCTCTATTTTTTCTTGCTCACTGCAGGCTTCTGTCGGATCGCCGGCATTATTATCATTCGGAATTATCCCGATTGTCGATTGACAAAGTAAAATCTATCTTTCAGATTGTGCCGAACAGACAGCCTCTATTAATACTGCGTCGAATAATGCATCGTCCTCTGCATCCAGCTGCAACCTGGAACCTTCGATGCTAAAGAATTATAATTATCTTTTGATAGAACCTAGGAAAGCTAATAAGGAATGCGGCGTTATATTACCGTTGGAAAGGCACAAGGATTCCCTGCAGAGCGCCAAAACTATCTGCTTCGACGAGAAGAATGCCATTCACGACCAGTCCAGCTACAGTAAAGACGAAACGGCGATCGACGATGCGGACAGTGTTAATTGTTTTTATACGCAAGAGTCTGCCAACGATAGTAAGTTGACGCGTAAACAATCTGTTCCACCTTACAGCACGGAAACTGTTTCTTTAACGATACATAACGACATATCGCAAAAGTTAATGCAGAAACAACAAAATGGTCATAGTAGCCCAAAGATCGACAACAGGTATGATAAAAAGTTGAATCAATTTAATCTGAAGCCCAGCGTTAGTAATGTCTTTAGCAGTTTGAACGAATACATAAACGCGCCACCTGGAAGCTCCGATTGTATCGATACTATATCGGACAATCGACAACTACAGCCTGACGTAGAACCTGAAATTGTTCGTTATGGAACTAAAGCACCTCAATTAATTCATAGTGCTATCAAAGATATTGACAAAAAAGTAAGTATAACGGACAAACAGTTAAACGATACGACAAGTACAAGTAGAGAAGCTGCAATTCCAGTTCACGAGAATGTTACAACACCCATGGGTATAGAATTGTCCGCTGTACTTGACAGTGCTATTAAGGAAGACGATACAAAAATTCATTGTACCACAGGATTCGAAGAAACGAAGAATGAAACAGTACTATCCGAGGGTGTAACTGTAACTGAAGCTTTTAATGAATTAGGTAGCAGGAACAAAGTTTCCAATGAAAGAAATTATAGTGCACAGAATTTTGAATCTGTGCCAAAAAATACTGATCTTGTAAACCAAAACAGTCGTTCGGTGTTCAAAGACCCCGAATATAAAGAAGAGTTTATAACACGGTCAGATGAGGATGAGAAAAAATTGTACACGAGTAGTTCTGATACAACCGACGCGTACAAAAGGAGTTCAAATTCTACGCAAAAGTTGCTTAAATTCGATAATATTGATGATTTATCCGAAGATGAATTGACCAAGTATTTAGCCGAATTAGAAGAAGAAGAGGATCTGAAGGAAAAGATTGACAAGCATCAAATTGGAGCAACCAGTTCAGCGCAAAATATCACATCGGTTCAAACAAGTGAGTCACAGATTTCAAGGAGTGTGGAACCTTTAAACACAACGCAAAAAGAATTAATCGATGAGGTAGTCAACATTTCAGTAACTAATTGTAAAGAAGAAAAAGATGAAGAAGAAGACGAGGAAGAAGGAGAAGAAGAAGAAGAAGAAGAAGAAGAAGAAGAAGAAGAAGAGGAAGAAGAAGAAGGAGAAGAAGGAAGAGAAGGAGAAGAAGGAAGAGAAGGAGAAGAAGAAGAAGAAGCAGTAGAAGAAGAAGAAGAAGAAGAAGAAGAAGAAGAAGAAGAAGAAGAAGTAGAAGTAGAAGTAGAAGTAGAAGTAGAAGAAGCAGAAATAGATAAAGAATTGCTTACTAATCGAGTGAAAATGCAAACTCAACAATGCGATGATCAGATACAGGAAGACAAGTACAGCAATGTTTTAGATGATGCAAGCGGTACAGATAAAAGGGACCAGATTAAACAAGAAGATACTCGTGTAGCTTCGAAAGATGAGCGTACATCCGACGAGAAAAGTATTAAAGACATTCAAGAGCATTGTACATACGAATCAAATACAAGCAGAGAATCCGTAACCAATGATGAGGTCGAGAAACAATTGATCGAAGAAAAAGGAAATGCCGCGCATTATAGTCAGGTTTATGAATTAAAATTGCAAAGCGTCAGCAAAGAAAATCCTGAAGAAAAGACAGATACGATGGAGTCCGATGTAAAAGTTTTAGACGACGCAACAAAACAATGTCATAGTACGTTGCCGAAGTCTATGGAAGTTATCACGAGAACGAACGTGAGTAGTAGCCCCGACGAATTAGAAAAACCTGTTCGCCCTCAAACTTTGGATATAATTTTATCGAATAATACAGATGAACGTCAAATACATGATTCTGCAAATGATACACCAACAGGTGAAGCACAATCAAATATTGATGTTCCAACGGAAGACCGAGAACCTTCGCCGGATATTGTGGATAACTCGTTACCAGACTCTAATTCAGTTTTAGGGAAACAACCGCCATTCTGGGTTCCAGACAGTGATGCACCCAGTTGCATGTTCTGTGATGTTAAGTTTACAGTACTGAAAAGACGGCATCATTGCCGTGCATGTGGCAAAGTGTTGTGCAATAAATGTTGTAACATGAAATATAAATTAGAGTATCAGGGAAATATCGATTCCCGCGTGTGTGTCTCTTGTTACCAGCTTCTTACAAAAGGTACAATATCGTTGAAAAGAACTTGCAAACAGTATGATATTTAGAACAGTTAAGTATCGATAAAATTCCATCTATTACAAGCATAATTTTTTAGCTGAAGCGGAACAGAGTCTTGGCGAATGGTCTCCTCGTTATTCTGGTTGTGTAACTAACAATGACATCAATTCACCGCAGGTATGTTGAAAGCAAAGTGTCTTATACACGATTGCTGTGTACTTTTCCCATATACAACTTTCTACATTTTATTGGTAAAACTGAACATTTCATGGCCGTATACGTTACCGTATCAAATTTTCAGTAAAAGTAGTTTAACGTTGGATTCATTTTACTCGGATGTAGTAAATTAGTAGATAAATTCTTTGAACGATTAATTTGAATAATTTGTGGAAATGACACGTAACACGATATTGTAGCACCGAATGCTTAAATGTCTGTTATAATTATCAATTTGAAAATGTCCATTTCAAGAAGTAGAGTTTTATCGACGAAAGATTGTAAGGCTTATTGTTTATTTGTTTTTTTAGCATAAGTTTATTAATCACCTATAACAACTTGTTGAATACTTCTTTTTTATCGCTTAAATGTAGCTGCAGAGAAACGTATAATTTGAATTAAAGAGGGAGTCCGCTCTGAAAGAGCGAATAGATTGTTGCAGTTCGGGGTCTACTTTGTAAGAGTCTGGTTCAGCTTAAAGAAGTATAAATATCTTTAGAGGTGTCGCAGGGTGGCCTCCCGCCTTAAACATTTCACTATCTTACGTTTACCAGGGAGAAATAAAGATTGAATTTGTTTGAAATAATGTAAAAGTTGTAGATTTAAATTGTAAAATCATTAATTTATAGTAGCATGATTGATATGTTTGCATCGAGTTTCCTGCGAGATCTAGAGATTTCTTTTCTTGTTGTGCTTCATATTAATTTACGTATTAGAAATGTAAAGCATGTTTGATTAATTGCAGTATTATTTGTGAAAGATTACTTGCCCGCTTGATATCTTACTTGCAAGAAATATCCCAGTCCAGTAAACCCAGAGAATTACTTGGAAAGTATAGACATGTAACTTTTGTTAAATGCTATAGAATTTCCGAATTTGCTTATGTCGATGCGTTCACCGTCAACGATAGAGCTGCTTTAATTTAACGGAATTTAAGAAAAGATATTCGAAGCCCGACAGAAAGGTGTAACGTTTGATCGAGTAAGAATGCTTTGAAAGGAACGACCGTGTTATTTGTATGATCTGTGTTTGCTGGATAAGAATATACATGTGAATGTTGGGAGTATTCGACAAATGGTTATAGGGGAGACAGCCTAATCCAAATAATCCCATGGAGTACTGTTCAACTATACCACCCTTGCAACAGTTAGCTGGCGGATTGCCTCCACCACCCACAGTGATGGTACCTGTCGGAGTTCTTAAAAGAGAGGGTGGCACAAAGAACCGGCCTGAAGTTTCAAAGTCCGTGATGTTCAGCGATGGTAGGTGAAATTTTGCTACAATTATGGTATACCATAATTTTTCTATGCAAGAAGAATATGCAGTTGGAGTGTTCGTTTTGATCGTGTAAGTGCGCAATAATAATATTCTGTACGCAACGGGTACTCTAGTTTTTGGATAGCGCATCAAATGTCTGAGCTTCGTTTGATCGAACGACTAATATGTAGAATATATCCTGCGCTTTGGTCCTCTCGCGTTATATTTGA